ATGGTGACTTACTCTTATGCTGTTTGAGTAGTTGAAAAAAAATCAGAATTTCACGTTTCCGATTGCTGTTTTGGCTCGGACTTTTTTCTAATACGGTTTATGCTTAGAAATGTAATATTGGGTGTTTTTTTTTTAAGTGAACCCACAGCTATGTAGAACTATTAGATTTAAAGTACGTTTATAAAACGGTTCAAAAGGAGTGGTTTAGCTGCTTTCGCAATGAGGTTTGAAACAGCCTGTGGCTTTGGAGCACGTCAAGCAGGTACAATTACCCGTTAGCAGCATGTTGCCTCAGCGCTGTGTGTGTTTGAACACCGCTCATCTCATCCTCCACCCCTTCCCTGCTAAACACATCTGCTGCTGTTGCTGCTGTTGGGGAAGTGATTCTACTCTGACCTGAAATGTGCTGTTTGTGAATTGATTTGTTTTTCTGGGCAACAGCCAAGTTTATGTTGTGCAATGGGCACCCGGAGTAATTCTAATGTTCCACGTGTGATAAAGTGATTAGTCAAGCCCTCTCTCTCCCACCCCCGTGACATTTTTTTTCTTGCACCCATCATGAGCACTACTGTGGCCTATCCCCTCAGCCCAGGACTCCTGTCTGCAGTGGTTAGAATTTGAGAAGGACCCATTTGCTCTTTATCCTCACTCCACAGGGTTCAACAGAAAATTTAAAATTACCCGTTAGCTACATGTTGCCTGTCAGATCAAATCCTTTGCTGGTAACTGAGTTGCTGGTCACTGTTCTAGGCTGATGATAGAGCCGCTCAGTCGTTGCTTGGATTGTTAATCTTTGTTGTTTTTTTCACACTGCTTAAGATAAACAGGATTTGACATGGATTTACCGTTAGCTGCAAATGGAGATTGTTTGCCTTAGGCTGCGTCCCTTGAATCATGATGATCTGATTCAGGTTTTTTCATTTGAAACTTGCAACTGCTACTTTTCAAGGGCATGTTGTTGAGCTTCTCAGGAGCGTGAATTAAAATGAGTCACTTGCTGATGAAATAACCTCAGAGTGCTATTAGAATGAATAGGAGGCTTCCTTCCTATATAACGGCTGTGCCCCCCCCGGCACCATGAGAAAGTGTCATGGTTCCCACAATGAACGTGAGCTTCCCTTCTACACGTCAGCCGTAACACAATGCAGCCAGGGAACGTGCTCACAGTCTTGTGGGAAAGACTGCTTTCCTTTAACATATTGGGAAGATTTTTATTTTAAAAAGAAGTTATTTGTGCCCTTCATACACTGCATGTATGTTTTCCATTTGAGAAGCTGACAGACAATTCACTGCCTCACCTTAGGCGGTCCAGCTTTTAGGGTATCTGCCCCACCCTCTGGAACTCCATCCTGGCATCCTTTTGACTTTCCCCTTCCCTTGCCTCCTTCAGTGTCCGTCTCAAGCCCTTTCCTCTTTGACCTCGCTTTCAGCCATCTTGCTTCCACCCCATTGGCCCATCCTCGCTTGGCCCCCAACCCCAGCTTGGCTGCAAACCATAGAATGTCCAGCAGCTCGGGACTACCTCCTGAGGTGAAAGGCGCTTATATAAATGTGAATATTGTATTTATATCTGGTGAGCGTCTCAAATAAAGGCAGAGTGCAAGCCCGTGGTAGAGGGAAGGAGCTCGGAGTTGATGGGATGGAGGGAGTTGCCAGAGGAATAGATTTGCAAGAGATTGATGAGGTGGGGCAAAAATACAAGACAAGCTAAGGACAAGTATTTTAAAGTTGATCCGCTGGGGTTTAGTGAGCCATTGGGCAAGTATTGCGGTGGTGGACGTATGGAGCTTGGTGCTGGAAAGGATGTGGACTTAAAAGTTCTGGATGACCTGGAACTTGTGTAGGGTGGAGCTGGCGAGGCTGCTGAACAGAGTATTGGAAAAGTCGCGTCTGGAAGTGACAAATCTGTATATAAGAGTTTGACCTGCGGGGGTGGTAAAACCAGGCGGAGATGACAAAAGCAGACAATCAGAGCTCGGGTGGAAGCTTTAAACTCGAGTTGAAGGTCGAGCAAAACATTAAGGTTCTGCACAGGCTCCGTGTTCAGAATGGACAACCAAAGAGGCTGGTATGTTCATACTACTCTCTAGGAACTATCACAGGTCTCTTGCTGAATATATTCTTTACCAATGCTACGTACTGATTACACACCAGGCCAGATTTAGCAAGCACACTACATATGTGATATAACTGGTATTTTGTAGTACATCTGTCAGTATTGTACAAAAGCCTTAAATTAGTTGGAAGAAGTGGGCAGTAGCAAACACGTTGTTAAATTGGACTCTGAGTTTATGCCAAGCTCTCTGGTCCTGCAAGAATCGGCCAATGTCCCCTGGATACGGGTTGTAAGGGAAATCATCAACACACTGCACCCACGTACATCTGTAGCTTATCAAGGAATAAGAAGACATGCAGGCATTCAAGCCCACACACATTTAGTTGCCTTGTGTAGTAGGTCAGGTTTGGTGCAGTTGGACAGCACGTGTTAAAGTACATCCCTGCTTGATTGTAGTGATACAGAGAACTCCAAGCTACTTACTTAGCATTGGGTTGTAATTACACAATCGCATATCATGCAGCACCCCTCACAAATTCTGGGACAAATTCCTATTGTTCCTTTGCTGATGCTGTAGATTTCTTCAAACAAAATGCATTGCAGTGCTCTGAGCTGGATGTGGCTTCCATCCAATTTAACGTGGATCAGCCCTGAATTCAAACAGCACCGCAAAGTGGAACTGATGGACATGGAAAAATAGAATGAAAAAGAGAATTTTAAAAAAATGGTGTTTTCCCAGAAAACTACAGAAACATTTGGAGTGAAAACATAAAAATGTGATACCAAGTTACCCCCCCAGCTTTGACTGCAAACCCAGATACCTCCTCTAAGGTTTCAGTTTTCTTTTTCCCACCGTCAAACGAACAATCTTCACCTTGCCACTCATGTTGTGAAAGGAAAGATGGGCAGAGAAATAGAATCAAACCCAGCAAAACCTATGTATTTTACATTTTTTTTAAAAAAAACTTCCCAATTGTAAGGAAAAACAAAGTGGTGCTGCGAAGCACAGAGTGATCACACTCTCTCCCACCATTTTAGAAGTCCCGAATTGAAGAATAAAGTCACTGTGCTGCAGTTTTAAATATTTATTTTCAGGCGCCAGGAAAGCACAACATTTAACACATGAAAAGAAGAAAAAAAGATTTTCTATATTTCTCCTAAAGGGAACAGTGTATACAGGAGAGCTGGGACATGGGGCTGCTCAACACACCTGACAATGTGCCATTTGACCCATTCTGGTGTCCTCTTGACATCCTCAGCATTTGTTAGTGAAGCTACAGATAGGGAAGTGGCTGATTTCAGTCAACCTAGCTCAGTTGGGTAGCATTCCCACCTCAGGTGGTTTCGGGACCCATGTTGGGTCTTTGAGGTGATCGTCTAGTTGAATGCACTGCTAGAGGAGGGGTCCATTGTCGGAGGAACCATCTTTAGGATGAGACTTTAAGCTGAGGTCCAGTCTTCCTGTTCAGGTGGACAGTAAAAGATCCCATGGCGCTATTTGAAAAGAGAATGGAGTTTCTCCAAGTGTCAATTCAGGAGCAATGCCTGTGCTCTGTTTGCCTTCTCTTCCTAGCGACACGGGTCATTGCTTGGACATTTGTGGCCAGGCTCCCACATTCCGACCTGTACATTGTGTTGCGCCATTGTGGAACCAGCTACTTTTTTTAAATGTATTTTTTTTTAATTGTGTGCTTAGTCTTTAACTTGGAATGGTGTCTTCCCAGATTCTAGCACCTCATATGAAATATAAGTGACATAGACAGCCATGTTCTTCTGTTGAAAGGGGCAATTGACAACTCAATCTCATAGCAACATTAATGGGAATGGATTTTACTGTTTGTTTAACCCCCCCCTTTATTTCTGCAGGTGACTCGGTTTTCAACCAGCTTGTTTTATATTTGAAATTTGTGAATATGTTTAATCCTGCAAACCTTTGACAAAGCCTTCCCCCCCCACTGCCCCCTTCCCTCTCTCGCTCTCCTGTTCTCTCTCTTTCTCTCTTTCTTTGTCTCCTGTTCTCTCCCCCCCCCCCCCCCCCCCCTCTCTTCCCTCCCCCTTTCAGAGGAGATTTGCACAATAAGTTGAACAATAACATACGTACATGTGATTTGCGAAGGCTCACGAGCCTTCCAGTTGTCCTCTGCCACAGTACAGGCACCGTGTGTCATTGCCGTTCGATCATACCTTTGTTAATTCTGCAGAGCATTGCCTGTTCCTGCTTACATGTCAGGATATGAAGAGCCTGCTACAAGTTTGCTGTTCGCAAATGTTGCCTGCACATTTTAGGCTGGCATCAGTAACCTTGCAAGGACGTAGCGTGCTACTTCGCATTTGGCCAACATTTCCGCAGCATGTTTTTTTCAGGTGTGATCGAACGCAAAATAACATTTCTTGTGGTTCCATTTTCTGAAAGACAGATTAACCTCTTCACCGCTTCTGTTTTTTTGGGGGGGTGGGAGGGGGTGACATTAGGATCCTTTTTTTTTGGTTGACACAAATAGTAGAAGCTTTTGCATCTGCGTGCATGGCCTTCTGTAAATTGAGTGTTTGCATAACATCAAAATCAAAGTTGATTCTATCCTCAGGGCAACCTCCTCCTATGTTTCTACCAATTCTCTCTAACCTAGCCTGGCGTTGCATGAACTATGAGGAGGCATTTGGCCTCTACTCAATGCCTGTCCACAGCTGCGCAGGCGAGATTGGCAATTCATCGGAATGGGGAAATCAAACGTAAAATGCAATTGAGCTTCTTACTCCAATGCATTGGGACACCAATAAGCAACACTGGCCCAGAATTCTAGGTCCAAATGCCCCCAATGAGATTAGTAATCCAAAGAAAATGGGACACTTGATGCTGCTGGTGAAGTGGTTAACGACCTTACCTTACCTGACCTTACCTTACTTCCTGGTGGGGAAATAATTCTGTTCTTTCTAAACTTTCTAGGTAAAAGTACCCCTGTAAACAGGCCCGGCTCGGCCGATTCCGCCAAGTCCCACGATCCTTTCCAGCCCTCTGGCGCTGGTGACGGTGATCCATTTCAGACTAAAAAGGGGTTTGTCGACCCTTTCATCGGTAAAGATCCTTTCGCGCCTACTTCCTCAAGTAAAACTTCTAAAGACTCTTCTTTGGGTTTTGCAGACTTCAGCTCTGTAAGTTGAGATCAGTGATACTCTTATCTGTCCACAATCACCTGCCCCCTCCCGTCCCCTTCCCCACTCTGCTAGTACAATCATTCTACTAATGCCTACTGCCGGAACGTCCTCACCAGCTTCTCTTGCTATTCTTTGGAAATCATGCTAGCCATTTCTCCATAACCCTGGCTTCTATTTGTTTCCAGTCATTTCCTCTTTTCTATTTGTTTATAGCGGGGAAAGAACCAAATCTTGCAAGCAGTGGAAATCTGATCACTTGGAACCTTACCAAATCTCCAGTGGAAGTTGCCACAGTGGAATAGTCAGGGAAACCTGGTGACCACTGGGCAGCAGATCAAAAAATATAACTATTAAAGGAGCTAAAATACCACTGATTCCAGTCATCAAAAAACCCCTTTGGATATAACCATTTGTAATACCATTGACTATATTGAAATGGTTATCTTCCCATTGTGCGGGTTGCTGGTTATATTTTAGATTTGGCAATGGATAATGTTAAACTTCTTATAATTCCCCCCCATTCCCCCCAATCTTCCCATTGTGCAGTCCTCGAGACAATTGACTTGATTGTGCTTCAGTCGAATTGCTTCCTGTAACATCCAGCTGGTGCATGCGAGGCATCAATGGTGAATTGGACATTTTTTCTAACCTGTGTCAGTAGTATCACTACTCAGCTCTCAGTCCTGAGTGTATTGCGCCTGAACTTGGTGTGCATTAAAATGTCCTATCTGTTTATTTTTGTTCTTCTAAAGCGAGTGAATAATATGGTGTGTGTGAATCATGAACTGGACCAAGACAATGAGAAACATGGCAAGAACGGATCCCAATGGGGAGATGGAGGGGGGGGGGATATACCATGTCTGCCTTATAACATTTATAACAGCAATCTCCAGCAATGGGAAAATAGAATTTCCCCGTTGGGGAAACTTGCCATGTTTTTATGTTGGTTCAGTGTGCAAGAGTCGTTTCAGCTACTTGTGTTTTTCTTTTAAGAGATATGTTTGTCTGCATGGAACACAGCACTTGTGTTTCCTTAGGATTGCCCGAACCAGCTGTATTTTGCCATGTCATTTTTAGTTAGTGTTTTGCTACAGTTATTTTGGGTGTGTTTGCTGGTCATCTGAGTGTTGTTATTTCATTGACTCTTCAAAGAGAAAGCTAACCAACAAACATATTCTGTTTGTAATGTTGAACTCCAATTGAAAGAGAAATCCCTATGTTCAATAATTCAATAACAACTTTCAAAAGGCAATTAGATAGGTCCTTGAAAACAAAAAAATTGCAAGGATATGGGAAAAGAGCGCGGGAATGGGACTGATTGGGTAGCTCTTCCAGTGAGCCGGTACAGGCATCATAGGCCGATGGCCTCCTTCTGTGCTATAATATTCTATGATTCACCTTTTCACTTGCTATAAGCAAAACATTTGGCTTTGACTGATCTCCCATTTTCAGCCTGAGGTGGCAGCAGTCAGACCTGGTCCTGAAGCAATTGGTATCAGGAAAGTGATTGGTCATTCCCACTTACAGCTTCTTTTCCTGCTTTGAGGCATTCCCGTACAGCAGCCTAAAGAAGGATGGCTCAATTCACGCAGTGGAGCTGAAAGACAGTTCAAATACCAGTGAGCCAGTGTATTTTAACCTGCATCCCAGCACAGGAATTGTGGACTTCTGCTGGAACTACAAGTGACTACTTTGTAGGAACTTTCAGACTTTATTTAGGTGATTGTTGGAAAGGGAAGCTTTCACAGTGAGATAGATATTAACACCCATTGATGCTAATCAGTTTCTCTTTTCGAGAGTTTTGAAACGTGATCATCCCATTCTGATTTCTTTCCCCCTCCTCCCACATCTTCCTTGAAAGTGGTGGCTCAGGCTGTGTTATCTTTCTTGGATGCCAACTCTCTCGCAACTCTCCACTACTTCACCCTGTGATTATTATACCCGGTCTGTCATCTTAGAACAAGAAGGAGACCAGAATAGAACATAACACAGACTATTTAACCAATTGTTCCTGATCACTCTGGGTTATTGTGTATTAATACAAGGTTATGTTAGCGTTGGGTTTAGCTAACCCTAACGTAACCCTCCCCTCCCCCCCACACCACCATCCACCCTTGGTTTAAGAGCCGAGTGGTTTAGAGGGATTGGTGTGTGACACCGGTGGGAAATGCTATTTCCTTATCCTCTACCATTGCGGCTCCATCCTTCAGGTGAGATACAAAAGATGAGATCCTGTCTACTTGTTCTAGTGACTGACAAAGATCCTACAGGTAAGAGTGAGCTTCAGTCTCCAGGTTAATCTATCCATCAAGGAGAGCTTCCTTGTACTTTGATTACGCAACAGGCTCAGCGCAAAGCTACTGTGACCCAAAATAATAATAATAATTCTTGCATTTGATATAGCGCCTGAAATAGTCAGATATTTACACCAGAGCCTTTTGCTAATCCCTTTGACAGCTGAGTAGTTGGGTAATTTATAAATGGTCTTTTTCCCTGTGATACCAATAATGACAGTTGGAATGAGGATCTCTCTCATTTGAAAGGAAAAGGGTGATTTCTTTTGAAAGGCTGGTGTGAAATCGGTCCACATGAAACAGGTGGGTGTACTTCAGTGTTGGGATTTGTTCTGCATGGATTTCACAGGAGTCGTTAATGAGCCTTCCTTTACTGATATGTGCTTGGTTTGTAAAGGCAATGACGATTTTATCTGGAGTCTGAACTTGAAGCTGTTCTTTCAGTCCTATTGTGATCCAAATGTAATGCATTCAACTTTAAAACTAATAGTTTATCTTGGGAGCATTAGGCCAGTCTTAATACAGTTTGACATGGGAAGACCTTTTGGAGGTATGTTAGTTGCTAAATAGGATACTGGAAATTCGGAAAAATGCTTTGAGATACATCAAAGCAGCAGCGTAGGAAAATGTAGTATTAGGGTTGTGAGTGTAATTTTAGGACAAGAATCAGTAAGTTTTTGTTTACCCCGAGGGTAATCAATAGCTAGAACAGGCTTCTAGGAAGCGCAACTGAGGCCAAAACAGCTTGGTGCTCTAAGGGGAAGAGTTGGCATTCTGGAAGTATGAGATCAAATGGATGATGTGCCTTCTTCACCACAACAACACTTGTGGAGTATTAGAACCTGGGTTTAAATTTGTGTTGGACTGATGGGCTGAAAGTCTGATCGGTTAGCTGTAAGAGTTCTGGGTGAAATAATTTTTTCAACCCAATTCCTCGTGCTTTTACAACGGGGAGGGGAAATTGGGCTAATGTATTTTTGAGGTTGGGACAGAGTAGTGGGAGCTTTTGCTGTGCATCGGCATGTAGTGCACCTAAACTAGGGAATAGGTGAGGCTAACACTAGGAGTCTTTACAAACTAAGTGTTCCATATCCCCATCCCAAACATCCCTGATCATGAGTGCAAAATTCACTCATATATATAAAAAAAGTTTGAAGCAATGATGTATCTCCAATCCTGAGTGAGTCGATTGATGGGCAGAAATTGTGCAGTGATGCATTTTTCCTGAATTATAGAGCAGACGTTTCCTGACTTGGGAGCGAGTAAAGAGTTGGAAGAAGAGACGTTATAGTTTGAGTGAGAAACGTCCTAGAATAAGATTTGTTTTTTGAGGCTGAGTGGCACCCAGGAGATCACATAAAACTAGAAGAGATGGTCGTATTGGTTGCCAGATGGCTCAGCTTCCAGTGTGCTGCTCTTCGGAGGACCTGGGATTGAGTCTTAACTTCGGTCCGTGTCCTGTGCTAATGGCTCCTGGTAGTGACAGGAGCTCTCCTTCGGACACTTTGTTAAGTGCAGGTCCTGTCTGCCTCCACAGATGGACAATAAAGATTCACAGCTTCAATAACAAAGAACGTAGACTAGCTAGCCTGGTGTCCCAGCCAATTTATCTTTCTGTGTGTCTATCCGTGTCTCTCTCACTCTCTCTTTCGCTGGGAATCTTTTGTTTGTCCCATTGCATTCTCTGCATGTTATGCGGGTTTTCTTCTCCTTGGCTCTCTCTCTCACTCTTATTCCCTTATTCTCTCCTCTCTCTCTCTCTCTCGCTGTATGTACCTGCCTGACAGGCTCTGTGTGGGTGGTGACTCTTTCTCCCTATTGTATGCAGTGTGAATTGGCACGGGTGAGTGGATTATGTTTTGCCTCTCTCCCCAACCACCCCCCACCCCTTCCCTCCCAGCAAAGAAAAATAAACCCATTCAGGATTTCCTCTGGGCTGTAATGTACACGGGGCATGATGCCTCACTCAAGCTGTGCCGTAAAAATAAAAGAAACATAATTGAAAATATACGCGAGGAAACATCCTGAAAAAGACTACAGACCTTATGAGCAGTTTCAAACTGAACTAAACTTGCCTGAAGCTATAGGCTATAAATTTCTCAACTTCTTTCTTCTTTCTCCCTCCCCCCAAAAAATGTTCTCAAGGGCAAGGGCCTAGTTCTGAACACCTATGCCAATGCCACTTTACAGTGGTTTCTGGGAAACATAAATTAGGCTGGGCTAATTTGCCCTTTAACCCTTTCGTAGTCTCATCCTCTCCCTCAGTCTTATCTTTGCTCTCTCTCTTTCTCTTCCTCCATCTCTCTCTCACTCTTGCAATTTCTCTTTCTCTGTGTCCCTCCCATGACTGCCTGTCTCACATGCTCTCCCTTCTGGCTGTCTGTGTGCCTGTGTTTGTGGGGCTTCTCTCTCGCTAAGTGTAGCTGCTTCCTCCCTCTGTTCCACCCACTCCCCATCTCCGTGTTGGAATGCCTACCCTTTGCTCAACACCACATTGATAGCACAGTCCAGGATAGCGATGCACAGAATGGAAGAATCACACGTGCATGAACCCACATCAAGCACAATGGCACAATGATTGGAAAAATGCGTTTTTATTTAAAGTTCTTTCCCGTTGTTTTGAGATATGTTCCTGTTAATTTGTTGTGAAGTTTATGGTTATTTAAGAGATGAGTGATTTGTGTTTTGTACATTTATGAACCT